TGGCGAATCCCTCGACTCGGTATAACCATTCCTCTAGGCGAACCGTTGATGAGGAAGGAATATGTAACAGACGAGATACACTGCATGATCAAACCAATCCAAAGCTGGTGAAAACCGAGTCTCTCCAAAACCGAAGAAATAAATCTCCATTCTAGCCGGTCATACGCTTTAGACATATCCGTTTTGACCGCCATAGCAATCCGCTTCTCATCTTTAGAAGTCTTAAGCGTATGTAGCACCTCATGAGTAGTAAGCACATTATCTCCAATCGCTCTTCCCGGAACAAAAGCCGATTGATTTTCAGATATATTTTTTTCCAGCAGGGGTTGCAGCCGCTTCTGGAGAATTTTCGAGTAGACCTTATATTGGACATTGCACAAAGCAATAGGTCTATAATCTGAAACCCGCTGAGGTGACTTAATCTTGGGGATGAGGCATACATGGGTATTGTTGATCCCACTCGGCAGGCATCCCGTTCTAAAGCTTCTCTGCACCTCATTGACCAAATCTGGTCCTATCTCATTCCAAGTGTGGTAAAAGCTCGCTGAGAAGCCGTCTGGCCCGGGAGCCTTTTCTCCATTTACCGCAAAGATAGCTTCCTTAACTTCCAAAGCAGTCGGGATAGCTATCAATAACTCATTATCTTCCTGGGAGATTAAAGGCTGCAATGCATAGTTCACTATATCACTGCTATCTCATGGAGTCGCAGTGAATAGGATCTTAAAATAGCTCTCAATTAGTCCCGCTTTGTCAGCCTCTTTATACACCTTCTTGCCCTCGGTGTCTTCAAGAACTCTGAAGGCGTTAGCTCGGCGCCTATTCTTGGTGGAAGCGTGAAAGAAACCAAAGTTCCTGTCACCTAGCTGGAGCCACAGAAGCCGGCTCCGTTGTTTCCAAAAGGCCTCGTCAGCCGCATAAGCATCATTCAGCTTTGAGCTAATTTTCTTAATCTGCTCTGTGTCATTAAGGGGGCTACACAATGCTTCTTCCAGTTCCTTTTTCTGCTGCTCTATGGTGATGTTACTATTCAGGTGTTGTGGCACTTGTTCCAATCTGAGATGGCTCTTCTAGTAGACACTAGTTTCTCAGAAAACGTACTGTCCATCTCACTTGTCCAAGTGTCCCGAATGACCTTGATGGCATCCTCATTATTGTTGAGTCGCCGGTCGTATCTAAACAAGCATTTTTGCTTCATAATAGTTGGATCCAGAAAGGAGAGGAGGGGTTTATGATCAGACCCTTCGTAATTTAGATACTGACATCTAGCTGAGGGATAGTTCTCTGCCCATTCACTATTAGCGACCGCTCTGTCCAGCCTACATCGAACAAGGTGAGTACCTCGTTGCCCTCTCCATGACAAGGGCTCGCCTGAGTGATGCATATCGTACAGGTCCCCTTCAGAGAAGAAATTTCGCAAGTCAGAGAACGACCCTTCTGCTCTGTCTGGCCCGCCTACTTTCTCGTCACAATGGAGAAGGTCATTGAGGTCTCCAGTCAGGAACCAAGGGGCGCTTCTAAGCTCCGCAGAAATCAATAACTGCTGCCACAGTAAGTTACGTTGTGTTCTATTTGTGCTCCCATACACAAAACTAGCAAAGAAGATCTTGCCTTCATATTCAATTGTTTCTTCAATTACATTAGCTGAAGAAAAAATACAGAAATTTTAAGCTCTTGTCTCCATAACAGAGCTAGGCCTCCAGCTCCGTGTCCCGTTGGACGAACTAGAAATGTTCTTCATAGCCAAGCGTTTCACATTTTTGGAGAACAACATCATTAGGATTTTTTGTCTCAATAAGAAAGAAAATATCAGGCCGGAATTTCTTCTCGATTTCCTTGAGACGACGAACTGTCTTGGGATTCCTCAACCCTTGACAGTTCCAACTTGCCATGGCTAAGGAGCAGGTGCGACCTGATCCCGAAAATCCACCCTACATTTAGTTGATTTTGGGATTAGGTTGATGATTGGGTCATTGTCTGAACATGAAGCTGATGCCTTGCCCTGCAACCCAGCGCCTACATTAAGATCTCTGACTTTTTTTGGTTTTGCTGCTTTGGAAGTTGTAGCCTTAGAGGTTGTGGCAGCATGAGGAGAACCCTTCCTTTTCGGGGAAGGTTTGTTAGAGGCCGTTCTTCTCCTGGGTGGGACAGGGGCATGGATGCCCTTCTGAACACTCCCCTTTCCACTTCATGGAGGTCGGCCTGGCTTACGTTTCAGCGCAACTGTTTCTTTTGCCACCTCCAATTCTGGGGGATCACCAATAGGCCCAAGTCTTAATGCAGCAGGAATTCTCTCTACATGGTCTGAAAGATCCCATCCCTTGTCCCCAGGGGACCTAGAAGGAGAGAGGGGACGGGGACCCAGTCGGAGTGCGGGGTGGAGTCTACCACGGGAGGAAGAAGAAACTTCAGTGGGCGTTTCCCCTGGATTTACCTCCTGAATAGGAGGGATAGGGCCCAGTCTTTGGCTCAATAGGGGACGCTGTGGAGTGGCCTGAAGTTGTTCCTCTTCTACAGCAGCTCTGTTAAAGGCGGCCCGAGCAATAAGAAGTGTTTTCTTTTCAAGTTGCCCCCGTTCTTCCGCTTGTCTCAACCGTTCTTGGCGGACTTGTCTCTCCGAAGGATCAGCACTAAGGGTGTACTGGAGCATAGCGTCGTGTGCTTTAGAAAGAGCACCATCAAGAACTTCTTGAGGAAACTTCTCAAGCCTCGACTGTTGAGGAATCCCTCGAGCATCTCGATCATGACGGCTTCTGGAAACACACGAATCGGTGTCCTTGTTCATAGGAATGTTTTTCTGGACTTCACGATAAAAGCTTTTCTCCGGTGGGGCAAAAGGGGGCCCATTTGTGGATGAGTCTCTGTGGAAGCGGTCAGATCGACTCCGGTCATGAGCCTGCGAAGAACGACGCTGAGCACCTCTTTCTTGCCATGTTTTTGTAGAGGTCTTATGTGCTCTCTGGTGGTGTGACTCCATTTGAGACTGTAGATTCCGATTGTCGTACGTTTTCCTGGAGTTTGAGGCAGAGGACTGATAGTGAGATTGTCATCCCTTCTTGGTGTCAGGTTCATGGCGGTTCTCCCTCTGGGAGAAGTGTGAAGATGAGTGTGAACGATCTTTAACAGGGGCCAAATCTTTGGCAGAGGTACCACTCCCTGCTTTATCCTTCTCATCAAGTCTTGTCTGCAGAGCCTTTGCTTCCGCTCGAGCCACCAAACATTCCTTCAGTTCATGATCCAGTTTCATACATTTTGTACAATGTTTATCAAGTCGCTCGTAGACCAGCGTAGTATGAACCTCGTCTCCATTAGGAAAGTCCACTATAGATTCAGTGATGAGCGGGAGGAGGCCGTCAACGTGGACCCTTATCCTAGCAGACATAGGAGTGATGTCCGCTTTTTCAAAAAGACCAATGTTTTCACCAATGGCTTTGACAATGGGTTATGTCCAAAGATGAACAGGGAGCCCCTGGATTTTAATCCAGAAGGGTATGAGGGATGGGAATTTGGGAGACACAGTCGGTTCCCATCGTTGTAAAATAATCATCCATCTTGCATAGAAATAAGGGCGTTTCTCTAAGACAGCGAGCATGTCAGATTCCAATTCGAAGTGGAATTGAAACAGACCATTTCCCAAGTCAGCTCCTACCGGTTTGAACTCGGTTTTCCAATGCTCTGAGAAGAACGAGATGAAAGACCAGACTTTCTGGGCTGTCTTGTTGGCAACTCTTCCAATCAGGGTTAGAGAGTGCTTTTGCAGAAGCTCAGCGTTGTCAGGGAGGGGAGCTTTAACACGAGCATTCCTAGCCGGCTGTTGGGAATCAAGGTCAAGCCCTTTTCCTTTTTCTTCTGAGGATAGTCTTCGGTGAGCCATCACTATATGGATGAAACTAAGTGAGGAAGGTCTCCCGCTTAAGGGAATCCCCCTAAGACAGAAGAATAGGATGAACTTGGTTCTCTTCCGCACTCTCGGGTCTTGGACTTGAGACAGAGAGTTCTATACGAGGGGTGGAGAGGCCGCAGAAACGCAAATCAGGAGCAGACAAGCACATACACACACCAGAAATCCCCAGTAGAAAGTGTAAAACAGATAGTATTTAGGTTAGGTCAAGCTCCCGTAACAGAAAGGAAACTGGGTCCTCTAAAGCAGCAGAAGTGAAATTGACTGAAGCAGAACATCTTCGGGATCCAGGCGACGGCGGAGAGAGATTGACCGGCGGCGGAGGCGGGCCTGTCGACCGGAGTCGCAGGCAGAACCCGGTAGGAGTCCTACAGATACTTTTATGATCCGACGGATTATTCCCAATGAGGGAAGAATTTGAAATCGTAGGAAAGGACAGTATCCCTGCACCAATTAGAATAGAAGGACCGAAGGGTCAAAGAAGGTGGAAGTAGTTGGACCAAGAGTTAACGACCTTGTTAGGGAATCGTGCCTGGGAGAGAATTTTTTCAACAATGGTGGGAGCTATTTATATTTAATCACACTAAATTTTATAGAAGTGTATAAGTTATTGGTCCAAATCTGGCTCATAACTTGCATTTCTAACGTGGATTATGTAATTTATATGAATTTATCAAAAAATATATTCATTTGTTATGTGAGAATTAATTATTTGTTCTTTAAATACTGTATCTTTAAATATTGTTTTTGCTAAGTTTAATTTAATTTAGATAATAAATTTGAGATTGAGTATGCTAACAGATTAATATATATTTAATGTTGCATTCATGGAATTATATAAAAATTCATATCTTAAAAAGACCAAATAATTTATATAGTTTTTTTTTTGTAAAAGGGCTTAATTATATAGTTACTTTACAATAAAAATGCTTAATTAAAGGAACTGACTCAATGGGTTGAAGAAACCAAATCTTACTAAATGAACTTTGTTGCAAGATTCCCATGACATAATTATAAACAACTTAAAGAAATACTTATAGATAGTTATTTAAAAAAAAATTATGTAGATAGTTATTCACTTCAATAATTTAAAACGATCTTCTCAAACTCTTCCATACGGATTATTTGGGTCTTGATACTTCTTGTCAACGTCCAAAGGAGGTCCATTACGACCACCACCACGACCATTAACGCCAAGAAAGTCCAAAGTCTCCCTATCAGTGAGATTGTTTCCGAAACGATGGTCGAAATTGCTGCTACCGGGCCGGCCTTGAAGACCACTTGTCGCAGCTAGAGAGTTCATCTGAACTTGAAAGTTTCCATTACCACTGCCTCCAAAGTTATTAACGACCACATTCGCAGAAGGTGATGAGGAACTAAACCCTCCAATCAAAGCAGAAGGAACGTTGTTATCAGCATGGTTGAACAGAGAAGGAACACCTGTCTGAGCAGAGAGGTTCCTAGTGACAGTTTTGTCTTGAAAGTATCCAGGATTGAGCAAGTTGTTGTTATTGTTGTTGCTGTTTATCAGACCTTTCTAGTTCATTAGATTCTGGTCTTTCCTTGCCAACAGTCCTCGGTTCGAAGGGTATTGCATGGGGAAATTAGTAGGACCATGGTTAGGGTTTGTGGGCTGAGGAACGAAGTCTCCAAACATCTCGGACGATGAACGATTCAGATTGTAACCTCTAGCTAGCGGGGTATAACCAGTGTTTGAGCTTTTACCAAAATGGTTGTGAGAGAGAGCAGAAGAAGCACCGCCGAAAAAGAATGGTCTGCCACCACCTCCACCAGCTGCAGCAGCTGTTATTTCCTTGTCGCTCACGGTAGGGTTTCTTGCTGGCTCTTGTAATAATGCATCACAGAATGCTCTATGAGTGTCGTAACTGTCTCTTCTGCAATAACACCCCAAAACCAAAAATGTAATTAACATAAGCTCAATATTATCGATTCACGTAAAAGAATATTTTAATTTGGAATCACAAATGTTAATGGCTATAGATTTTAACATAATAGCATGTATGGGTTAACCAACACGTTTTTTAATGTTTTCATCACACTATATAGTATAACCGATTCTTGTTTAGTATGATATATGAACAAAACTATTAAACAAAAATTATCAAAAAGAAAAAAAAAATGAATGGACCAAAGAAATACAAAATTGTATAGTTTACCTAGTGAAGGTTGTACCACAGTAACATCGATACTCTTTGGTACCACAAATCTTAGAGTGAGCTTTGAAATCAGATTCAACAGCATAACTCTTAGGACATTGCTCGCATTTAAATTTCTTCTCACCATGCTTCCGGCAATAATGCTTCTTGATTCCGGTGATGTCTCCGAGAGCACGTGACGGATCATGGTAGACGCACGTGGGCTCGGGACAAACATACACCTTCTTCCTTACTTCTTCGTCCGACTTTTGTTTCAGCGTCCATGGAAGGTTGTGTCCTCTCCTGTGAAGCTGTAGGTTCTGCTCTCTTGGAAACCTTTTGTTGCATACTTCACATAGGAACCTGTTCGTTGCCATTATCTCCTCTGGAGACAGTGATATCACTTCAGCATCTGGACCTAATGAATCAACCACAACAAAACCCATTAGCCAAGAGAGACAATTTTATATAAGTAACTGAATAGACTAATCTTGTAAAAAATGTTGAATAGAGCAGAAAAAAATCAAACAATATAAAATATAATCAGGTCAAATGAAGATAATTTTAATACTTGAGAATAACTACAAGAAATTGAATTAAGTTAAAAAGGTCATATGCTAGTAAGAGATACACTTACTTGGGTTTCCTGGTTTGTTTCTTAGTCTCTTGGGTGGTGGAGAAACGGAGTTGGGTTGTTGAATCATTGTCATCGCCGTCTCTTCACTGTTAACGTTGTTTGCTCCAGTGGATGCGCCGGAGAAACGGAAAGACTGAGCGGAGGATGATGAGATTGAGTTGTTGTACGATGAAGACATCTTCTCAGAGTCTGCTTTTTAGCAAATTCTATAAAGATCCATTAGTAAAATAATTTAAAAATGAGAAAGAAGGTAGAAATAAAATATGATTCAGAATAAAACAAAAGCATATAATTAGAAGAACAATAAACCATAGAGACTTACATAAATAAAAAGGCAAAAAAAAAAACATTAGGAATACATTTACGAACATTACAAATATAAATCCAAAGGTTAGATTTCATTTGTAACCTTTTGAAAGAAGACATAATAAGTTGTTTTCTATTGTACTACTAGTCTTAAGATGCAAAGAAAGAAACCAAGAAGAAAAGTTCACTGAATAGCTAAAGTTCAGAAACAAAGAATAAAGCAAGTAGCGATGGTTATTATGCTTGAAACAGAAGAAGAAGAACCCTTTAACCAAATTATATTAAGTCTTTAGAAATGCACACCTAAACAATCCTATCTCTCTCTTTCTTTTTTTGTTCTGCTATTTAATAGATTAGATGAGTCTTGTAATATCAATATATAGCCATAGTCCATTCCTCTTTTTCCTAAAAAAGATTTTTTTTTTTAATGTTCAACACGTTTCGAATGTGTAACCGTTCAGTAATTAATTATAATGGACCACGGTTCAAACTAATCCCTTGTAATTTTGACCATCATTAGTAGATATTTTGATAGTAAAATATTCTTTTTATTTTTAAATTATTTTCAAATATATGTATTTGACTTTTTGGTCATAAAATAAGTATTAACATGTATTTTTTTTAACTAATTATAAAATCATATTAAAATTCACTTTATTTTCATAGTACATTATAAGATTGATTTTTAAAAGAGATCTTAAACTTTTTAATTTTTGATTTAGAATATTTGGTTAGCTATTACTTCTAAACCATTTAGAAAAGAATTTTATTGTATAAACTAAAACTCTTTTCTTTTACTTCATTTAAATTGTATCTTTTTGTTTTTAAACAACCAAAATATACAATATTTTTATATATTTTTTCTACCTCAAAAAGTTATTCTGTAGATAAGATTGTTCTACAACTAAAACTAACACTTGACAGAAACTAAGAACTTACATCTTTCAAACTGATTAGGCTCAAAGCATGAAGAACATCTTCGAAAACGGACACGAAGAAGAAGAACAATCCTTCTCGCTGTCGTTGAATCATCCTCCTAATCATCAACAACGTTAGAGAAGCAATGCGCCATCATCACTTAGTGAAGCCAGTGAAGTACCCTCATCTCCTTTCACCTCAAGAGATTATTTTGCTTCTTCGAAGATTGGTCTTTATCTTAATCTCTCTTTTCCTTCTCTACTCTGTAGCTGAAGCTTTGTTCTTTTTTTTCATAATATTAATGCAGCGAACATTCAAATTTGTTTGAAAACCCTTTTAAAATAGGGAACGTTATCTTTTAGCTAGGCTTCTCTCGTGGTGACATGGTCTTCGGATTACAATGATCTTTATGTGCGCGCCAAATTCTGTTAGTGTTCTAAAAGATACGGAAGGAGTTTGATGTTTCCCGGGTAGTTTATTATGATTCGGTCTTACTTGAAGATGATGTGGAGAAGGATTGATCTCCTACGTACGGTATGTTCTTGAGATAGGATACAGTTTTTTGGGGGTAAAATGTTAAATACTATACCAAGTTTTCAATTTGAGACTATTTTGATACAGTTTTGTTTTCATAGATGCTGATGTGATGTGGTTCAAGAACCCGTTCCCACGGTTTAACAGGTATGCTTCAAGACTGAGATATCCGGGCATCATGATAAAGATGTTATTAACTTTCAAAAGACATAACCTCTTGTTTTCGGTGTTGGGTTGAAAATAAGATTCTTGAACACTGACTGATTTAGAATGTATTGGCATACAATCGAATAATTTTAAAGGTCCAAATTTTAAACTTCATACACTTTAATTTATATTTGGCTAAATTTTATAGAAGTGTATGAGTTAAGGGCCCAAATCTAGTATCAATAAGATTAAAACCACAACTTATAGGATAATAAACACTAGGTAGAGACCCGCGCAATTGAAAATATAATAAAAGTAATTTATTTACATTTTGCTACATTATTTCAATTATATATGCTTATTTCATTTTTTATATATTACATTTTCATATTTAACTTATGGATTAGGTATATATAACATATTCATGGGCCTAAGCTAAAATAAAAAAATGTGGACTATACAATCTTTCTTATATACAAACGCGGAGTGATTGTAAAAAAAAAAATGCTTGTTACGTTTTGTAAAATTTGAATTGTGCATGTTGCATATATAACATATTATTGGGCCATTGCTATGATAAAATGTTGATTTAGTTTATGAACATTTGGAATTTAAAATGATTAAAAAATTTATGGCATAATAAGATATAGACATAATCGTTGGGCATTTGCTATTAAAAAATCCACACAAATGTAATAACCCAATTATCTCAACCTTATTGTTTAGGAAGATGAAAAATCCAGAGACGATAATCTTAACCTTTATTTTTTACATACACTCGAAGGGCTTCAAATCTGAAATCGTATTGATGGCTGCCATTACGAAGTATGTTAGTAAGGTGCTTTTATTGTGTGCTGAGAGTATATGAGTTGTAAACCTTTCTAGCTTGTTTATATATAAGTTATTAAGAAGTCCTAGAATTAATACGATGTCTAACCTAGAATTAATAAGAAGATATAGGTAGCAAATGTAAAATATGTTGAGAATATTTGTTTCGCCCAATTATAGCCTTATAGTTCGTCTACGCTTGAAGATGTGAATCTTTACTTGATATACACACTGGGATCTTACCAAATATGAAATTTATAAATAAGTCAAATGATTTTTTTTCAGACATACAAAGTTTTAACATTAAAACACTTCCATATTTGAATTGTTTCATACAATAACGTTTGAACAGTTTCAAAGTATTTTCGTAAGATTCAGTTTCACCATGAAGACTTTTACGTTAAATTACGCATTTATGACTGTCTCCATCTTCCTTTGAACTGTTCTGTACACATTAATAAATTAGACTCATAACAGAAACCATTACATAGTATTTGGAAACATTCAATATGAACTTACATAATTTCACTATAGTTAAGTCTAATATTAGCTATATTGTAATGAGTCTAAACAAAGGTGGATCCATCTTCATATTGACACAATAAGGTTTCTAATTCGAAAACTTAGTATATGTATACTCTGTTTTGATCCACACTAAACACCAAATTGGTTTAGTTTATTTCGTAAGAATCTGTCACTGATTTGCATGTCTTAAGCCAGTGTCACAGGAAATAGAATGGAAATGAAACAGAAAGTGAATCACACGTTAGTGTTACCCTTAACTCCAAAATGGAAACAAAACTGAAATGACAACATATCCTCTGTTATGAGTACATAAAAAGCAAGGTTGCTTACGAGTAGTTGTAATGAATCTGCCAATTAGCTTAAAATGTATACATCAAGATGTACCATGATGTTACAAATGTACTGCATTTAAAAGTTTCAAATTAGAATGCACCTTCAAGTTCTGCTCTAGGAAGAATGATACAATGGATCTTAATTTATAGTTTGTTAGTTTATTAGTCTGCCTGCGAAGACTGCATTGAAGTTATAAAGAAGATTGTGTTTTGAAATTATAAAGAAGAATTATTCATGAGTAACAGAAGAAAAATTCAGTGAATCTGTTAAATTGACATATCCTTTTTGAAATTCAGGCTTATCCATGGAAGAAATCATAGAGCTTAAAGGAACGCAAGAGAAGTTGTGAAGTTATTTTTGTTAGGTATTATAGGTTATTTTGTTAAACCAATGTCATATGTTGTCATTTTATTAACCAAAAAAATTTTACATGCCTACCAATGGCATAAGTTGTAATTTGTCTAGTAAGTGGTGGTCTATTAAGAATGAAAACTAAGGTGGGCTGTGGTGATGCCACCTAAGTCAAAATGGCAAAATTGTGAATAAAATCTATAATAATAAAGGAGACTTTTCTCCCTTCTTGTGCTGCCTCATCATTTTGGAGAGTGGGGCAATTAATGACACGTCAGCTCTTCAAAAATTCTCATTTTCTGCGTCTTGGAAATCGGTAAACGTCTGGGCTTATATTATTTTTTGGGCCCTTATCACTTTCATCATTGTGGCCCGATTTGGTGTATGCTCAAGCTCTTCCTCTTCGACGACGCCGTAGTCCTTTCGTTCACCATCTTCTCCGATCAGATTTGCTGTAAGGTTTCTCCCTAACTCATGCTTTAATTCAATCATTAAACTTCACTCCACCTTCCCTCCCATTCAGCCTCATCTATTCAGGCTCACACCATCTGTGTATGTAACGTATATAGTCTTGATCTATAAATAGGTCTTCTGGAATCGATGAATACCTACTCCGTTAAGATACTGGAAAGCCAATACTGTCTTACGCATCAGCTTGAAATATTTCGCCTTCGCACGTTTTTCTTGCCAACCTGAAAGCAGGTTGTTGCTCAAACACGGCAGAGATCCAAATCCTCAGGTTCTGGACGGCTCGGAAAGTCAGAAAAGGTGGAGAGCTCATGGGTGTGGACATGCTTCTTTTCGATTAGTAGGTAAACCCCGACCACTTTATCTTTTCTTATTATTGAAAATTGCGTTTTTCACAGCCCTGAATGTATAAAATTTGTTGTTTATTCTTCGAATCGTTTTCTCGAAGACATCAATTACGAGGAACTTTGAGAAAAGAATGGTTGTAGCTACAAAACAAAGGAAACATCATTAACCGAGTCATCAAATTGAGTTTTGCCGGTGATTCACCGGATCTCCAATGAGAGGCCATAGATGGTTCATGATCGTCTTCAAGTGCTCAAGCTCTCTCTCATTTCTGATATTAAAAGTTAGATTGTAGTGTTGTGAGTTCGTTAAGGTGGAAAGGAGAGAGAAGTGAGATGAAGAAGGAGAAGAGAGTGAGCAAGTGGCGATAATATGTAAGAATGTGAAAGCTTTGGGATTTTAATAGAAATTAAAAAACTTTAC